CCAAACCCTAAATGGCTGAGTCAAGTAATGATCTAAGTTGAATGATCCCTCCCCCCCTACAAACCCTAAATGGCTGAGTCAAGTAATGATCTAAGTACGATGATCCCTCCCCCCTAACCAAACCCTAAATGGCTGAGTCAAGTAATGATGTAAGTAGAATGATCCCTCCCCCCCAACCAAACCGTAAATGGCTGAGTCAAGTAATGATCTAAGTTGAATGATCCCTCCCCCCCAACCAAACCCTAAATGGCTGAGTCAAGTAATGATATAAGTAGAATGATCCTTCCCCCCCAACCAAACCCTAAATGGCTGAGTCAAGTAATGATCTAAGTTGAATGATCCCTCCCCCCCAACCAAACCCTAAATGGCTGAGTCAAGTAATGATATAAGTAGAATGATCCTTCCCCCCCAACCAAACCCTAAATGGCTGAGTCAAGTAATGATCTAAGTTGAATGATCCCTCCCCCCCAACCAAACCCTAAATGGCTGAGTCAAGTAATGATCTAAGTTGATTGATCCCTCCCCCCAACCAAACCCTATATATATATATACGTATATATATATATAATGTGTATAGTGTGCCCATAATCTGATTTATATATACAGATATAATCACATAAAATACACAGATGAATATGTTTTTTTCCACACATACACTACCAATTAACAGTTGTCTATCTCAACTTTCCGCAAAAAAAATGGAGCCATCTCTCCCTACCTGAGGCCAGATGTGGTCAGTTGCAAGCCGAAGTTGCACAGCTGAAAGCACGCAGTCGAGAATTGGAGCAGGTGAGCCGCGATGGCGGGAAGGCATCCCAGACGTCATGGGTGCTTCATTTTCGCTTATTGTGTGCAGTTTAATAGACAATAAGAGATATTCCAGTGAACTATTTGTGTGATCATATGATATAATGAGTACATATGTATATAATATATATATATATTATGGAGGATATAACCACTTACTGCAGGTAACGGAAAAAAGGGTTTACTCTTTGGGGGGATGGCCCTGAGTCCGTTTAGCTGTGACCCGTGGGTCCCCTGGTTGATGAACCAAGGACATCACATATTCCTGTGAATGATATTGATTTTTAGCCAGATATAGTCCAATCTTATGATGTTATATAAATATAATATACCTAGGCCAGTAGTATCCAGTAGTTATATATACGTATATTAATGGAATATATATGGAATATCAATCGCTTGCTGTATTGGCCATGCACATTCGTTTTAAGGAGAGCTTCGTCCATTTCTGGCCATATGTTCAGATGATCCTTAATCAATAAAGAGGATAGTCAGATAGTCTGCGGAGATTTTATGACTACCCTCTGGTTATTTAACATAGCTATTGAAAATTGCCATTTATAGTGGATTTTCCCATTGAAAATGGTGATTTTCCATAGCTATGTTAATTTACCAGAGGGTATATCCCAACAATATTTGTGACTGGCATCCGGTTGCTTGCTGCTTCTAAACTTTATCCTCTATACCCTTTCTTGTTACTCACCAAGCACGTTGACTTTGAATAGCCACTGTGGAGATGAGCTTGTGAGACTCCAAAGAAAAATCAAGCCTTGAGTTGTTTGAATTGTTTGAGTTGCCGCTGTTTTGAATATCATGATAGGACATCAACCCAGATAGAACATCGCCAGTGTCCAGGGGGATCACCGTTTTCAGCTCATGTTTTCCAGGAGAACGATGACTTAAAGCTGCGGCTTGCCTCGGGCGAGAGGCGAAGAAAATGAGCACATCATGGGGGTGTTTGTCTACAATCACCCCGAAACAGCTAATAAGTTGGTTGAGTTACAATCACTGGGCTTTATGATGGTTTATGGGGAATATATCAATAATATTCAATAATATATCCTTAGATTGGGTTATCAAGCAACAAACATGACTTTTGGGGGGCCCACGATGAGTTCCATGATTCGGATCCATAGAAACGACCCTGATAAAAAAAGAACCACGACTGGGGAATCATTTGTGGGTTGCTTCGATCCAGGTAATGATCCCTTAAATGACCAAAAATCATCGTGGGTAAACCGACTGGTTGGATACGAACTAGTACAACTTCATGGTTGCGATTTCAGTGGTACCCTCTAGTAAATTAACACTGACCCTGGCAGTCATCGGGGTTGGAAGACTAGTTTCCATTAAAAATTGGTTATTTTCAGGGTCTATGTTTATTTACCAGAAGGTAAAATGCGTACATTCACCAACTCAAAAGGAGATTTCTGTGACAGCTATCCAAGATTCAGCATGTATCCCAGACTTGGATGATGGGCAAATTTACCTAATGTTAAAACCACAAAAATGATTGCGGAAAAAAAGGTTTCCCGTGAATTTTCCGTAAAACACCAAGTCAATCCAATGAAAGTAAAACAAAATCGATGTGGTTCACCGATCAGTGAAGTTTTCCAAGTTTTCCAAGCCGTCGCCGCAAGTTGCGCAGGGGCGCTGGTGACAGCGCAGAAGTGGACATTTTGCGAGGAAGCCTTGAAAGTGCCAATGCAAGATCCCTCAGCGCGTCCTGGAGGTTGATCTGCGCATCACAATTTGGGAAACCACAGATTTTTGAGTTCATGTTTGGTATGAACCATCTACTTGTTGGGGTACCAAATTTTGACCCTTACCTATATATGAATATGATTATATATATATATATACATATACATGTATACATGTATACAGATTCTATGGGTATGTAATTGGAAATATGAACAAATCCAGTGAGTAAGGGGATTGACATCAGTTGGGCATTGGGCACTGAGAGAAGCAAGCCTTTGCCATTGTCGACAATGTTGGGAATTTACTACGTACAATAGTGATTTAGCCATTGGAAATTGGGATATAATGGGAATATTTAAGTGGTGGAATTACTTGGTTTTTTAATACTTTTCTAGTAGGATTTGACGGTTCTATCGTGTTGGGGATTGCTATGTGTATATATATATATATCTATATATCACTTGGGCTTTCAGTCTTTGCAACATAATGGGCCGGAAATCCCTTCATGGTGTCGACGGGCTACCGTTGAACAATTCTGGCCAAGAGAAGGCCATGATATGATGGATGAAACGGAGAAAACAGATTGAACGCAATTTGAGACAAACTCTCTGGTGATTTGCTGCTTCAAACGGCTTATTTCCACTTCAAATCCAGGAAACTCCCAGAAAAACACGATCGTCACAGCCACTGTTAACTTGAGGCCCGCAACCGGGCATTGACCACTGAGATCGAGGTGCTGGCACAACCGGTGGCCAGAAAAAGATGATTGAAATGAAGATTGACCTCTCCGTACCACAGCAAACTATGTTAAAATGGGAACTCTATTGAGAATCACTGAGAAATCCACAGGGAATGAAGCCAAATATGAAACTTTCGGGTAGATTTTTCCTGAGACCGATACTGGGAAACCAGCTCAAGTATGGCTCACAGCTTCAAACAAATCAAATTTGAGTGAATTTGTCAAGGAACTAAGTGAGGATATACCCAAAAAGCAAAAAAAGCCACAGAAAAAAATACCGAACAATTACCCAAAGTACTGCGGCAGCAAATTTGTTGGTCAAACTCCCGAAATCTTAACATTCGATGAATGTTCTATGTTGGTAAAGTCTGAGTTTGTGGTTTACATTGAATTTGATTGCTATTCAGTCCTAGTTGCATATTAAAAGGATCCTTATGTTTCCCCGTGTTCGTGGTTCAGCATCATTTTAACAATCATCTAGTTTAATATAGCTTCATATCATTTCATATCCCTTTATCCTGTATGATATCCCAAATGGTTGGTTTCTACGCCTATATCCTCCAATTGTTGATTGGTTAAACCATGTTAAACCACCTAATTTTGGTTGGTTATATCCTCGGTCACACATGTTTAATCAATGTTTTGGTTGGTGATATCCATTGATATCCCATATGTGTTGATTTGTTAAGCCATTATTATATCCTCCCCAAATTATGTGTCATGTGTTAAATCACGATATTCAGACACCAATGTTGCCCCCCCCCCACCTCCCCTGCTCCAATGGTTGAATCGCTAGGTGGAGCGCTTTCGCAACCGGGCACGGGAGCCGCCAGTGCAGGCGACCAGCGGCGCTGACAACAAAAAGTGCTGGCAATAGAAGTATTGGTAAATACCATGAACTTGTATGAAAAACCAGATGATCCAGATTGTATTGCCATTATATTCATTTATAGTCCTTTTTTTTTGGCTAGATCCCAGTAAATACCATTGAATAAGACAGACTAAATCACCAGTTTTCATGGTTAATCACCCGAAAATTCACGTCAGAGGATCATCCCACGAATGGCGACTTGACTATAGGGATTATTAGCCTCTGGTAAATAAACACCCTGAAAATCACCATTTTATAGAGGGTAATCACCATTAGTGGGATGATTTTTTACCCATTTATAGTGGATTTACCCTGAAAATCACCATTTTCTAGCTGGGTAAATCCACTATTTCTATGGCTATGTTCAATAGCTTTTTGTAAGAAATTACCAAAGGGTATTAACTCGTTGCGATCCGTGGGATGATCCCCCAAGTAGAAGATTTTTTTCGCCCGGCAATCCGTGGTGATTTAACCAGTAATCCTGAGAAGCTTATGTGATATGAACGATTTGACAAGGCTCAAAATGGCTGGGGATATAAAAAATATGTCGTGGCTTTGGGTATAAAACAGCAACGATTTTTAGTGGGGTCTTTCTAAGCAGTATTTTTTCATGGGCAATGGCTGGGTCAGCCCATGTGCATGGACATAACCACGGACTAGCCCTTGGTTATTTAACGATGGGGATCTGTTAACCTTACCGGCTAAAAGATCTGGTTTTTGCCGGGTATCATAAGGTGGCGAAGATTGGGATTGGTGGGGTGCCAAGGAAAGAAATGTTTTTGTTCATGTATTCAATGGAAAGCATGATGATGAACTAATTAGAGATTTAGGGATCCCACTTAGTTTATCATTTTAAAATTGCTTAAGGGATAATCCAATTAACTAATGATTAACTAAAGCATTTCACAGAAGCCACTTTGATTTCTTTGGGTAAAATGAAGGGAACACCAGGACACCAGTTCAAGGGATCACCAGTGCCATTGAGTCAGATGGGATGGTAGGCGGATATCATGTGGGGGATATATTCTACCCTCTGGTAAACTAACATAACTATGGAAAATCACCATTTTTAATGGGAAAATCCACTATAAATGGCCATTTTCAATAGCTATGTTAAATTACCAGAGGGTATTCCCCATGGCTGTTTGAAGAAATTGGGTATCTTTCCCCTTTTGAAAATCGACCAAAATGGGTAAATGTGCATGTAAATCATCGACCAAAATCGCAGCTGCAATTTAGTTTTTTGGTAATTTGTTACAAAAAAGCTATTGAAAATGGTGATTTATAGTGGATTTACCCAGCTAGAAAATGGTGATGTTCCATAGTTATGTAAACATTTACCAGAGGGTATGTATGTATCCTTATTATGGTTATATCATGTTATATCATGCCTGGTCGGTTTTTTGGGGTTGCTTAGATCCCCCACCAAAGCCATTCGCGTCATAGGGGATGCATACATCTTTGGGACCATTTTGTTTAGGGGGTGTTCAATACAAGGGGAACCGGAATGGGATATACGTACAGTAAAATGCGGCAATGGAAAATTCATGTGTAGATGATTTTCCCAGCTAACCTTGATTTAGAATGGATCATCATGGATTTTCCGCTTTGTTCCTATGATTTTCCTACAATTTTAGGCATATTGGAAAATCATATTTCTAGGTTCCCACAGGAAAATGACAATATATTTCCGATATTATAGATGATATCCATCATTCCCAGCATACACTGTGGTAAACTAACATGGCTATAGAAAATCACCATTTTTAATAGGTAAACCATCTATAAATGGGCCATTTTCAATAGCTATGTTAAGTTACCAGAGGGTAAATCACGGATTTTCCATGGATTTTCTACAATGTGGTGCCCCTCAGTTATAAGTTGGTTTATAAACCCCATTAACTATAGTTATAAGTACCATAAACCATAGTTATTGGAGTTATAAACCAACTTAGCTAACTATGGGGCACCACCTTGTACCAATATCAACTATCTAGTAGTACTAAAGCAATAGTGGTGATATATGACTAATCGTGTATACAAGAGTAGTGATGACTTATGCTGGGAATTCCATGATTTAGTATCGAGAATTCTCCGCACAGACTCTCTACAGGTGGTGGCACCGCCAGTCGCTCCGCCTGTCGCTCCGCCGGTACCCGCTCCGCCGGTGGCGGTTGCGACGATGGCGACCGCGCCGGCGGCACTGGTGCAACAACTGCAACAGGACGGATGGGTTGTTTATCCCATTTTTTTGTTCACCAAACATGGAGTTCAATATGAATTACTTCTTGAACACCTTGGTTGAGTAGTTTTTGGATGTTTTTGCGAAAAATGAATCATCAAATATGGATTGGTTAGTGGTGAATAGTGCCGATGTTTCACAATTATTTGTACAGGGTTTATTTTCAGCATCGATGAACGAAAATCCTACAAGGTGGTGCCCTAGTTCGGCATCGCGAAGTTGGTGAACAATACTAGATTAATTCTTGGGTTATGGTGATTATGATTATGCTTCATCATGAGGTTATCAATAGATCTGTGCAGATCCGTATATATCTATATACGTATATATATATATATATATTGTTAATGTCCATTTCCACATTTCCTCATTTTCCATTGATGCACGTCTCATGGATCTTGCGCTGCTGACTCGCCATATTGGCATTCCGACGGCCGTCTCGCCGTGGATCAAGGCGGAGGGTGGGTGTGGCAACTTGAGCCTAAAAAGGGGCAACAGCCAGCAGGCATAGGACATCGGTTGGATCAGGGATCCATTGGTTGGGATTCAGGAGTTTCCCTCAAAGGTTTCGCATTGGTAGCGGAGCCAAAGGCTGCCGCGGGATATCTCAATTAATTAAGGGCCGGGCTCTTAAATCTGCATTGCAAGAAAAGTTTGGGTTTTTGGTCACAGACAGGCATAGGTAAAGCACAACTCTGGGGCGCAAGACTGAGCCATGTCTGATGGAGCAGGAGGACACAGCAATCCTGCGGAAGCAGCTGGGAATCTGCCTGCTAGCCAGTTGCCGTGGCAGCAGATACCAGTTTTCGATGCGCAGACGACAGACCTTCAGGTCTACTCTCGCAAGCTCCAGTTCTTGCGAGACATATGGCCTCAGGAGCACATCTCCCAACTTGCTCCTCGAGCAGCTTTGTTGGTTCAGGGGGTGGCATTCCAGAAGGTGGCAAGACTGGATGCCACAAAGTTGAGGAGTGAAGCGGGGGTGAAATACCTGGTGGAGGCCTTGGGAGGTCAATGGGGCAAACTGGCCACGGAAGAGAAGCTGGCGCTTTTCGAGAAGGCCCTGTACTTGACCGCCCAAAAGGGTGATGAGTCAAATGACTCCTACTTAGCCAGACATGACCTGGCTTTCGAGGACCTCATCTCCAAGGGCATCACCTTGGAAGAAGTCAGGGCATACGTCCTGATCCGACAGTCTCAACTGCCTGCCGAGGATCGCAAGAGGATCGTGGTGGAGTCTCAGGGCGACCTCACATACGAGCAAGCTCGGAAGTCACTGAGGCTTCTGGGCTCACGTTTCTTTCAAGACCTTCAAGGTGGATCAAAGACTGGAAAGTTCAGAACCTATGACACCAATGTGATCGACTCTCCAGAGGAACCAACAATGGTGGCAACGGACATGGAGCTGTTTGATGAAGAAGCGGCCTTTCAGGCCCTTTTCGATGCTGGCGATGAAGATGCCGCATTCATCGCTGACTTCGAGGAGACGATAGTAGAAACAGTTCAAGAGTCACCAGAGCTGGCCTCATGTTACCACACGTACCTGGAGGCCAGAACCAGACTCCGGGAACGAGCAAAGTTTCGAGGATTCTGGGGAGTCCCAAACCTTGGAAAAGGAAAAGGGAAGAAGTCAAAGGGAGCCGGAGGAAAACGCCCTTTTGTGAATAGGGGCAAGACCTTGGCAGAGAAGATAGCCTCCTCAGCCTGCCGACGCTGCGGCCAGACAGGCCATTGGAAGCGTGAATGCCCATTGGGGGCAGGCAAAGGAGACAGCAAAGGCAAGAATCTCCAAGGAGAAACCATCACCTTGGCCGAGGCCCTCATGGCATGCCCTTCAGGACACCAAGAAGGAGACGACGATGAGACGGAGTTGATGAACCAGATCCCCGAGAATGCGGAGAACATAGGACAGAAAAAGGGGACCCGGATGATGATCGAAGAGACAATGTTTGGGGAGGAGATCTCTGAAAGACAAGACCCGGAAAATTCATCTATGAAATCAGTTCACCAGATTAATCATCCCTGTACAAATTACCAAAACTTCCAAGTTTTCAATTCCAGTTCCCAAAATTTTGAAACGCCAGATAACGACCCTTCCAATTCATTTCAAAGTGCCGTGACCTCCCTTGTGAACAAGGATTTTAAGTTCACCAAGCCATTGAAACAACTCTTTCAATCCGGATTTAAGGAAAAGCTACCAAACCGGCTGATCCAATGCTGTAGGGAAACATGGCCACTGCAAGCAGTTTGACACGACCGCAGTGACCTCAAGCTCTGACCATCGCGACTCTGATGGCCGTGCACAGCCCACCAGCAATGCTGTCGAAGTGTTTATTTTGAATGAAGAGAGAGCCGGAGAAGCTGTGATTGACACGGGCGCAAGCCGCTCAGTTATTGGGGAAGACCGGGTAGATTCCCTAGTTCAAGTTTTGACGGAAAAAGGTTGGGGCCCTGTAAAACGGATTCCCTCAAAAGTCCAGTTTCGTTTTGGAAACAGCGGCACTCTTCAAAGCAGTTTCGCACTGTGTATCCCTCGACAGCAAAAGGGTTGGCTCAGAGTTGAGGTTGTGCCAGGCCAGACACCCTTTTCTTTTATCCAACACTATTCTCAAGGAACTCGGTGTTTTGATTGATCCGCGAAATCAAGTGTTGTACTTCCTGAATCATGAAATCCAAATTCCTCTCCAATCATGCCGGAAAAACCTCTTGAGTGTTGACCTTGTAGAGTTATTGAAGGTAGAACAAGGTGAAGGTCAAAAGGAAGAGGTCTATCATCAGAGTAGCATGAACGTGCTAAAAACCAGTAATGACATGCAGTTGGAAACATCAGGAAAAGAATCAAAGAGTCAAGAAAACTCCGGATTTTCAGATCACACCCAGTCATACTCACCGCCTTTTTGCATGACAAAGTTGAACACCACCATTGTACAGAAACCATGTCTTGATTCACAACATGCACAAGGACACATTCATGCTGCCACATCCAGGGATCGAGTTTGTTTGCAAGAGCCCACGCTCACGACTTGCGCAGAAGTCTCCAGCAATGAGCATGCCAAGCTACCTCCATGCCGAATTGTCCGGCGAGGAGGACCCAGGACTGACCATGCCGAAGACTCACATGGATGCACCGGACGAGAAGTACAAGATTCCACCAGGGATCAAGACTCTCCATCAATGGGGAGAACAGAAGTTTCCGTCGGGGAAGCACCAGGGAAAGACTTTTTTCCAGGTGTTTCAGGAGGACGACGGGTACCTGATGCAGGTGAAGAATCGCAAAGCGGTATCGACATGGATGAGGAGTTTTCAAAACTACATCCGTGCAATGTGGCTGCAGAGAAGCCGTCAGCAGAGGATGTCGAAGCCGGAGAGCATCAACCTCACCATGGGGTACCAGGTGAAGAATCCGTCCAGGGGTGTGCCCAGTTCGAGTCAATCCAGCCAGAACCACGACAAGGACAGCGAGTGGGAAAAGGTATCATCGCTGAAACGGCAGTCAGCGGAGAAGGAGCCGAACAAGCATCAGTCCACCATCATGCACACAGAGGCAAACCGAGAGAAGGTGGAAAAATTACAGACTCAGATCGCAATTCTCCAACGCGAACTGGCCATCGAGACACAGGTGCCGGAGGACCAGTAGCTCAAAAGGTGATCGCCCGGAAAGAACAAAAAGTGACTCTACCACCATCAACTACGGTGCTCGATGAGGGACAAGTACTGGTGTTACATGAAAATGTTTCCCAAAAGATTTTGGAAATTCAGGGCGGTTTGTCCAAGTTGAAAGAAAAACATCCAGTGCTGGGGTTCCCAAAGACCACAAAAGGGTCCGACAGTCGGCCAATTGACCTCCTTGAAGTTTATTGTGGGGATGAATCTCAGATTACCCAACAGATCAACCAACAAGGGGGTAGAGCTTTGCGTTTTACCAAGAAAGATGGGGATTTGGCCACTAAGGAAGGGGTCAATAAACTGTGGACCTGGGTCGAAATGTATGAGCCTGAACATATTTGGGTAGCACCAGAATGCCGTTTGTGGGGGTCATTTGCACGATTTAATATGGGGCGAAGTGAGACCATGTGTAAAAGTATTACCAATCAACGACAACATGAGGTCTGCCATTTGGAACTATGCAATGATCTCTATAATCATCAGGTTGCTTGTGGTAGACATTTTCATTTGGAACAGCCCATGGGATCGGAAATGACCCAACAGTCACAACTCAATGATGCCATGACAGGAACACTTCCAGCAGTCTTTGACATGTGCCGGGCGGGTAAATTACGCTCCCCAAACAAAGACTATTTTCTCCGAAAAAGAACAGAAGTTAGGACCACCAGCCGAGTCATGCACAAAGGGTTGCATAACCTGATGTGTCAAAAGGATCATGAACATCTACCCATAAAGGGGAATGTGTTGAGTCAGGACCATAAATGGATCAGGCTTTCCACACATGCAGCTGCCTATACGGCCATGTTTGCAAAAAGAGTAGCCAAAGGAGTATATGAAAGTAGAAAGGCAGGTGAGGTCCCACTTCTCATGGAGGAACTTTTGATTGGAGAAGAATGTGAAAACAGTGGAGAAACCAGAAAACGGCCTCTGGCACAGGAAGTTTTAGAACTGCGGAAGTGTCGTAAGAGACATGATGGAAAAGGGCCTCCCACACCTGAGGATATAGCTTTTGACCTGTCGAAGTCTGTGGAGGGGAACGTGGGGTATGACCTAAAGGGGATTGTAGCCTCTCTTGGAAAGGGTGTTCCTAGGGTTGGAAATGCAGTCTATCATTTTGGGAATCCTCAAGTTAGCGACCTCCAAAGACTTTTCCCAGGTGTGGAACTCAGGTTGGTACTTGTGTGTCGAGGCACCGAACGCCATCGCATCCCAGGCTCAGACGTGCCAAGGGACGATATTCCCCTTCGCAAAACCATCTTTGTCCACCGACAGACCGGGGAAATTGTTGATCTTGGTGAATTTGAAGAATGGACAAAACTCCCAAAATTGAAACAGACCCGTAAAGCAGGGCCCGCAAAATTATCTCTGAGTATTTTTGGGCGACCATGGAAAAATGGTGGGGGTATCGGTGTTTCCCATGATTTTCGGGATGTTGTAATGAGGGATGACCCCCCAAATGGTTCGTTTGACCCCAAATCTCAGAGATCAGAACAACAGCTCCAAGAATTTGCTGGCGATGTTCCCATGCCACCTGTCGAAGAACAGGGAGCACCAGTTCCGGCCGGCGCAGTTTCCATTGAAGCATCCAGGGGTTTAGAAGAGGGGTGGCCACCAAAGTGTGTACCAGTCCATGGTCCGGCATTTCGGAGTTTAGATCCTCAGCAGAGGGCGGATTTGCTTCGTTTGCACCAGAACCTTGGTCGCCCCGATCCGGCACGACTCCACCGGATGCTTGTTGATCAGGGAGCTGATTCTCGGGTCATAGCAGGGTCATTGGATATGCAATGTGATGTTTGCCTGGAAACTCAACCAAAACCAAAGTTGGCTCACCCCGGAACTATTCATAGGGATTTGGATTTTAATGATGTAGTTGGGGTTGATGGAGCTTACTGGACTTCTAGCCTTGGGGATACTTATCACTTCATGCATTGCATTGATGAAAGTACATTGTTCCACCTAGGGCAGTTGAGTGGGCGGACCACAGAAGAACAGATTTCCACATTCGAACAAGTTTGGCTTCACTGGGCAGGGCCTTGCAAAACTTTGTACTTGGACCCAGCTGGAGAATACATAAGCCCAAAGTGGAACCAACATCTCCAAAGTGAGAACATCCGTGTTGTCATGGCAGCTGGAGACAGTCACTGGCAAATAGGACGGGTTGAGATACATGGGAAGATTATAAAGGATATGCTAACCCGCATGGATAAGGAACAACCTATCCGAAACACCAGTGATTTCCAGAAATGCCTGAGACAAGCATTTGCGGCAAAGAATTCGTTGTCAAGGGCCAATGGGTTTACTCCTGAGCAGGCCTTGCTTGGGAAAGCCCGGAATCTTCCAGCGTCTTTGACAGCTGATGACCAAGCAAGTGCTCATGCACTGGCTGAAAGCGAGACCCCTGAAGGTTTGAGGTTTAGGGAGAACTTGCGTAGGAGAGAGCAGGCCAGAAAAGCTTTCATTCAGGCAGACAACGACAGCGCATGCCGCAGAGCACTTCTTCGTCGCAGCCGTCCCGGCGTCGTCGATTTTGAGAAAGGGGATTGGGTGCTATACTGGAAAAAAGTTCCTGGTAACCCTAGGGGTGCAAAGGGTAGGTGGCATGGACCTGCTCAGGTCATCACGGTGGAGCGTCAGCGGGTGGTATGGCTTAGTCATGGGGGATATCTAATTAGGGCTAGCCCTCAACACTTAAGACCTGCTTCACTTAGGGAGTATGGGAATCTACCAAAAGGGGAAGATGGTCGAGTAAGGGATGAGCAAATAGATCCCCGGGTTCGAAACTTCCATGCCCTCACTGATGTTCCACCGGGGAATGACGATTCCGAATATGAACCATCAATAGCACCTTCCATGGCAGGACCCCCATCGTACGACCAGCCGGAAGGCGAAATTTCACCGCCACTCAGTGTCAATGAAGAGGACTCTAACCCCCCGGAAAATGAAGAGGGAGTTCCACCGAATGGGGATTTTGGGGGTATTGGTGTTCCTATCCCTGAAGATGATGATGAAGGTCTTTTCAGTTTTGGGGATGATGTAGAGGGACCTGAAAATAATCCGGGGATATGGGAAGTCCATGTTCATGACATGATAGATCTCCCTTTTGAAGAAGAAGTAGCAAATGCAGAGATGGCGGAATTCATCCTTCTAGCCACCACCGCCAAGAAACAACGGGTGGAGGTTAGATGGAAAGACCTCACGGAAGAGCACAAGAAACTTTTCCAAAAGGCCAAAGACAAAGAGGTCAAGGCATGGATTGACCATGGAACAGTCAAAAGACTGGTCAAAGGTTCTCTTCCGGAAAACCGGATCATGCGATGCCGGTGGATTTTAAGCTGGAAACCACCGTTGCCAGGTGCCACTGAACATCGTCCAAAGGCTAGGTTGGTGATTTTGGGTTTTGAAGATCCTGATTTGTCAGTGGTCCCAAATGATGCCCCTACTTTGAGCAAGGATGGTAAACAATTGATTTTACAAAAGGTGGCAAGCAACAAGTGGTCTTTACTGAACTTCGATATCTCCACAGCTTTCCTCAAAGGAGAGGGGGATGGAAGAGTTTTGGGCATTCATCCACCACAGGAAATCTCCACTGCCTTGGGGCTCCGTGAAGGAGAACAATGTGGCCTGACCGGAGGAGCATACGGCCGAATCGATGGTCCATTTCTGTGGTACAAAGCCTTCAAGCGCACCCTCGAAGAATTGGGATTCATTTCATGCCCATTAGATGGCTGTGTCTTCTCTTTGGTGACAAAGGGCCCACAGGGAGAACCTCAAGTGAGGGGAGTACTTGGCATCCACGTAGACGATGGCATCGGAGGAGGAGATGAATATTTTATGGGTGTAATCAACAAGCTCAGGGAGAAGTATTCATTTGGAGCGTTCAATATTGGGGATTTTGATTTTTGTGGTATCCGATACCATCAAATGCGGGATGGAAGTATTGAGCTCTGCCAGAAGAAATACATCGAGCAGATCGAACCCATTCAAGTGCAGCGACATAGGCGCAGAGAGCCTCAGACTCCTGTGAACGAACAGGAGCGGCAGTGTCTGAGGCAACTTTGTGGCTCACTGCAATATGCAGCAGTGCAGACAAGACCAGATCTTTGTGCAAAGATAGGCCTTTTGCAGTCGACCATCCCGAGAGCTTGTATAGAGGACTTGCTTGAGGCCAATCGAGTTTTGTTGGAAGCCAAGACTCATCCAGTGACAATTTTGATAGTACCAATCCCCGAACATCAGGTTGCCTTTTGTGGTTTTTCTGATGCCTCTTTTGAAACCAAGAAAGGGATGTCATCACGTCAGGGTACTGTGATATTCACTACGGATAGTCATATGGCAGACAATCAGCTATCGGTGATTTGTCCCATTGCCTGGTCCAGCCGAAAGATCCCAAGGGTCGTAAGGAGCACTTTGAGTGCCGAAGCCACGGCATTAAGTGGCACTTTGGATAGGGTCAGCTGGCTCAGAGTGATGTGGGCTTGGCTAAGAAATCCAAGCACCGATTGGACGAATCCATCGGAAATTTTGCAGCACTCTCCGTTGGCAACCATTGCAACGGATTGCAAATCCGTATATGATCTCTCCACGAAAACCTCAACACCATCTTGTGAAGAATTTAGGACAACATTGGAGTGTCTCCTCATTCGAGAGCGTTTGGCTGAGAATTGCAAGTTAAGGTGGGTTAGTAGCCAGGCAATGTTGGCCGATTGTTTGACCAAAGCAATGGACAGTTCGGTGTTGAGAAAAGCATTGGCACTAGGAAAATACTCTTTGTTTGACGAACTTGACATTTTAAAGCAACGTGCCGATCGAAGAGAGAGATTAAAGTGGCTGTCTGAACAGGAGAGCAAGATCCAAGGAAAATTAGAGGATTGAAAGAGTTGTTGGTTTTTGTTTTTGATTTTTGATTTTTGACGAGTGTTAATGTCCATTTCCACATTTCCTCATTTTCCATTGATGCACGTCTCATGGATC